GGCCGCTGGTCGAGCGTGTAAACTTTGCCAAACAGCCGGCAGACAACAGCAGCAAACATTTCGGAGCCATTTTCTTCGCAACAAAAACTCATTAAAAGTGGCGCAAATGCAGCTGCAGCTGCCACGTAAATATGAAGCCAAAGGAAAGCACAACAAGCCAAGTTAAAACCTTAACTAAATGCAAAATGCACAATAATTAGAGGCAACATTTTAAAGACGCTTAGAAAATGCTCGCTTTGTGCTCGAGCAAGACGCAAATTAAGGATAATAACCAGCCAAAATTAAGCAAGGTGTGCCTCAATGATAAGAGGCTATGAATAGAAAATACACGTTTCAAATAAATAAGCCAAATAACAATTTACAGCATTTCATTTAAATGCATATAATAGATTAAGGAAACTGCTTATTTAAAGAGTCAACAATCTAGTTGAACCACTGAATGCTTTTAAGGCAAATGCATTTTGTAAATCTGCCGCAATTGAAAACAAATGCCCAAATGTCGAAGCTACTTAAAGATTAGGGGTATTCCTGAGATAGAGTAAAATTACAAATATTACTCACTTAAAAAGTTGCCAATATTTCTTCCAATATGCCTTCTAAGAAAATATGCGAACTTAAATTTCAACTAAAAGAACATTAAACATAGCCGGCATCTCATAACTCTATTAATTATAGATTTTATTAATTTATCTGATCGACTGAATACCCCTACTATGGCTATCGAACATAAATGACAAATTTTGCCGGCTAAATTTTATAAATTTGAAACTGCCTTTGGCATATTTGGTCCAACACTTTTCCGTTTCGGCCAATTGAATTGTGTCGACACAGACCTTATAGCTAAGAGCAGCGAGCGGCGAGCGGCGAGCTGTCTGCTGCTGGCAGTTCAACTTAAACTTGTTAACTTTTGTAATTAAATTGTTAAACATCAGTTGGACTTTAATTGACTACCGGTGTAGCCGTTGAGCAAATGGCTGGCAGACAGTCTGGCAGGACAAGCAGGACAAGCAGGACACGAACAGCTAGCATAGCAATGAGGACTTACCGTTAGCCAGCTCAGCAAAATTCCTTAAGTGCCAATTTAGTGGCAATTTGCCTTTGTCTTAACACTTTTTATTTCGTGAATGGCCCCGGCAACATACAAATTTAATGTTAATTAAGCCCAAAGCGTTGCCCATGGCATTTTATACATAGAAACACATATTTACACTGGGATCCTAACTCCTGTCCATGTAAATATGTGAGTCTGTGCATATAAACAAATGTTTGCCGGCCTAATTGACTTTGGGCGTTCACAGCAAACAAAAGGATTTTAGCCATAACAAAAAATGGAAGCGCAAAACTTTAATCAAATAAAATCGAATTGTTGGCCAATTGAGCGCCAGAACGAGCTCAATCGCATAAAATGCACAAGGTGGAAATGGCAAAAAAATTTGCATAAAAGCGCCAAGCACGCTAGCCGATTGTGTGTCTGTGTATGTGTGTGTGTGTGTGAGTGTGCTTTTGATAATGCCATTTTAAATGCACTTTATGCGCTCTTTGTCTCAGCTGAATGTCATTGAAAACATGCAGCTTTGGCGCAGCTAATCCGATGATATATCAACTGCAACGATTTGCATATATTACAATGGGGCATTGAATGCCGTAAGAGCCAAGCTTGGCGCCACGTTACGTATACGTCATATATTACGTATACGCCACTTGTCCGCAAATTTAACGCGAACGTCTTAATGTAGTGCACAAACTGCTATGGGCTATCACATTTTTGGTGTAAGTTGCATATTAATGTAAATTTTCCAAATTTCGTAATAAATATTTAGTCGATTCTTGATATGTTGAGAAAAGGTTTCTAAGACTGAAAGACATTTTTTGGGCCTCAGACATGCGCAACCTAACTAATTTCCGCTGGATTATGAATGAATAAATGCAATTTTAAAAACTTAATGTTAATTATGCTTAAAAACTTTTCAATTAAATTATATTAAATATATTAAATATATAATTAATAAATAAATATAAATATCCTTATTGATTTTTTCTTATAGTTTCATTAAGCACATATTTTTATTCATCTTACAAATCTTCTCACTTGCGTTTAATGCTCTGAACTTTAATTATTCTGTTTACTAGTGTAGTAATTATTATGTAGACTAGTAAGGTTAACAGCAGCTACAATTTCAATTGTTATTATTTGGTCGAATTTCGCTGGCTAATTGTTTGTCGCTGGGTTGCCAAACAAATTGGTCACGTGGAGGCAAGACGTGTCGCCGAATGCCGCCTCGTCTGGCACTGTTCGCGCTTGTTATTGATGATATTTCCGAAAGCATTTAATTTGATGCACGAGTGCCTGTGATAGCCGATGCTAATGATTGAGTGTTAATGGGGCAAACGTGGCCAAAATGGGAATCAAAGCGCTACAGAAAAGCATTGCTATACATATGTAATAACATGGCGGATCGGCTGACCTCATTGCATGGGTATGGGTGCTAGTGGCTGACTGGGCTGGTGGTGGCTAGAGGCTGTGGTCAGAGGGGGTGAGCAAACAAGGCGCGTGTCAATGCGTTGCCAACCAAGGAAAAGCAACAACAGCAGCGAGAAACGTGGCCAACATGTTTGCAGAGTTGGGTAAGGCCTGGCCACAGATGCAAACATTGAGATATGCAACGAAAAGCACACACATAGCAACTCACACACCTACAGACACATGTTGGCAAGTGTGTCATGGACATTGCTCAGATTTCGTTATGTGTGTGTGAACAACACACTTACACGTGTTCCAACGGCTGCTGACAGTTGATGCTGTGACGGTGACTGCTGCCATAAAAAAGGCACATACTAAAATGGCAATACGAAGGACAAACAAACACACTAAATACACACACCCACACAAACAGACACACACACACATATGTGCTGTAATTGTGCTTGAAAACTCTGCCAACACGCATTTATGCAAGATTGCAATTACGATATAAAATACTTGTAGGGCTCGATATGCTAGAAGAAATGTGTTCAAAAAATTGTATTGTATGGCCAATGCTCGAGTGCATTAAAGTCGAGTCTTGGCCAAGGGGCATGCTTGAATATTTATGTTAATATGCCAGCAGCTAAAAGCCAAGGTCACAAATACTTGAAAAGCTTTGCAAAGTCAAAGAATTTCAATTAAGATAACATACAGGGACTCTACCGAAAGATGGTAATGGATTGAAAAAATAAATAAGAAAATTTTGTGGATTTTATATTTATTTTAACAACTGTCAATCAGAATTCAAGAGTGCGCTTAAAATCAAGTTAGGTGTCAATAGGTTTGTACAGTAAAGAGTTTTAAGATTAAGTAGATTTGTAAAAACTCAGTTAAAGGCCTAATGAAATACGGCCTTAGGTGACCTAACGCCTCCTGCGCCGTGAACTCTCTGTAGTCAGGAGTCTGGCCAAACGATTGCTGTAAGCCAACAGCCGATCATTGAGATTGACTTGTTTTTATATGACTTTTATTTTTTTTTTCAAGAAATTAGCTGAGTACTCCTTGAAAATACGAAAGCCCACATTTCCTTTTGGAAAAAAAAGATAAAGTCTGTCCTGTCGCTTATAGTTCTCGCATATACTTATATGATAATAATTATTGCTCTTCCCTCGCGTCAATTTCTCTCGAAGCTCTTGGCTATTTCACTGATCCCCATGTTAATGTTGCATATTACAAAATCCTCAAATTTCATATTGCATATTACAAAATCCTCAAATTGCCAGTGCCAATTAACAAATTGAACTTAACTTGACCGTTGACATAACGCCTAACGTCGCTGTGGGTGTTGCATGTCCTTCCATCCTATTCTATGCTGCGGCGCTGGCAAAACTGTCATAGCGTTAATTGAGTTTGACACTAATGAGCGTGCAATCGTTGCATAATTGATTTATAAATGCACCAGCCGCACCAAACCCGTATCTCCCCAATTGAGCTGTGCACTTGAGTTTATGACGTTGTCGCAATTCTGCACTAATTGGGTCAGGCAAACAATGGCGGATGGTCGGTCGGTTGTGAAACTTAAAATACGCCAAATTATTTGAAGGCTGCTGCAGTCGCCAACGCCGGAACATAATTCAAGTAGCTTGTCAGGCTAAAATTGCTGTGGCAGGGCGAGGTAATTGGACTAGGGAGCAGAGGGCGTTCAACGCAAACAGCGCACATATGAGCATAAGTCCATGAAAATCGCTGGAAATGTTTGCGGACATAGACAGCATAATCATCAGCAGCATTATTATATTCGTTATTGTAATGATAATCAGCATCATCATCATTGACATCATCATTATCATTATTGTTCTGTGGGCGGGCTGCTTGCCACAAGCGCTAATTCCACACAAATTGTAATTAATTTGAATTAATTATGTTCTACTTTCCACATGCCAAAAACAAACAGTCGTTGGCAAACAACTCTCTAACACACACACACACTCACACACATGTGGGCGCGGCGACTGAGACATATTTTTTGTTTTAAGCATACTAAGGCATAAGCATACACACACGCACACACACAACCACAAATTCACCGCAGAACGGAAGGATAACGAGCAGCTTTCGCAGGCTTTGCTTCAAGCTAGGAAAGTTTTCACCATTCGTCCTTTTTCATTGCCTACTTTTCAGCGCCGTAGCAAATGAAACGATATAAATAGAAAAGTCTTTAAAAGTATTGTTGCAGCATCATTTAAATCTTAGAATGACAAACGGCAGCTAATTTTTCAACAATTTAAAGCTCTATTTAATACTCCATAGCTGATTCATTTATTTAAAAATAAGCTTGAGTTTATTGACACCTGAATAGGAAGGATTTCGGTTTTTATTGCTTGCTCAAATGTTTTCTTATATTCATATCAGTTTTATATGTGAATTGTATATGGTAACAGTCTAAACCTAGTCCATATATAGCCAGCCAATGTTTATTTAAATTTGAAAACATTCATCCAAACTTTCCGCAAAGTTGGCCATGACTTACAAAAGTCTTCATATGTAGTCAATATAAATTGTATGTCCATTTAATTTTGAAAAATAGACAAAATTGGTTACAAAGCCTATAAAAATATAATTTTGGCCCTTTACGACCAAATTACGTTTTCGGCTTGCATATCCTTCAAATTACTGCACGACCATTTCCAAAAAAATGCATATACTAGTTATAACTCCGGCTGGGAAGACGGTAAAAGTCGATATTGGCGATGAACCTGATCACAAGGATGTGAATCACGACAGAATAATACCGCTGAGCGATACAAAATTAATGGATAAGTTCCCAACAAGCTCGGAACAGCCACCGATACAGATAGAGAAGCAACCAAAATATTCAGGCCAACCATCCGTGCATTTCTCAAGCAATTCATAGCACGTCGATGTCGGTGCGATACTTGTTGATCGATTATACTTATCGATTTTTTAATCGCTCTTATTTCATTTCTACTTTCTTAGTTAAAAAGATGTTTTCGTTGTGCGGTAGCTGCTTGAGGGAAAACCTGGGGCACACCTGCCTGTATATTGGTTGTGCCAAGTTAAATAATTAATATATGCTGAATACACAAGTAAGTGAAGGCGGTAAGTGCGAAAGAGTACCCTAGTATATCTATTCTTTTTCAATCGCAAGCTCTTTTGTCGACAGTTTAGTTTCGACTTAATATATCGGCAGCTTGAAAGCGGAATACAAAGCAGTATTTGGTGCAACTGAGTAACAGGCAACAAATGTGCAAAGTTAGCAACAACAACCTACAAATAATTTAATAATAATAATGTAATTTCAATGTATTTCCTTAGCTCCATTGAGCATTAAGGTACATTTCTATAAAATATACAAACCTAACAAAACGATTATTTACGAATGTACTAATGAAACGTTTCAATATATGCCTATAAGTAAATACTAGCTTAAGCCAAATATTTCTATGGGATTACTTTTACAAAATGAATGCCCAATCAAATAAATTAAATCAGAGTTGAGCCCAAATGGGTAAGGGTATTTGAGGATAAGGCAGTCGATGAGAATTGGCCGCATGTGAACAAATGACACGTTTGCTCGTAATCTCTAAAACATGAAGCCGAAACTGAAGTATTTAAGCGACACGTGCTAAGCAAATTAATATGACAACTGCTGTTGCTGCCATAGAAGGTACCACAGTAGCAGCCCAAGCTCGCTGCGGCAAGTGAATGACATTGTCTGGCACGACTGGAAATGTTGACAGCAGAAATTTAACGCTTAAAATGCCACACACACAAATATTTTGACATTCAGAGCACAGAGCGAGTAGCACACACCCACACACACACACACTCACACACACGCTGACATGCACAGCAAAGCAACAACCACAAAACATGTGCGCTTGTTGTTCTATTTTTTGGCTGCTTTTCTTTTTGCGTGCCAAATTTTCCATGAAAATTGCATGAATTGCAGATTTTTATACGCACGAAATGCGCTGCGCTTGGCGTGCGACTGGAGTCAACTCGAGTTGAGTTGTTCTCGTTGTTGTTGCTGCTTTTGTTGTTGTTGTTGTTGTTGTTGTTGCGTGTGCTTTAGTCATTTTTATGGCAGCACTTGGCGTAAAACATAGAACAAAACAACAACAGAAACAAAAGTGCCTTACATTGTTATAGAATTTGGCTTTAACAGGCGCTTACAGCGACCCAAACAATGACTTAATATACTGCATCTGCGATAAGTGCACACATGTGTGTGTGTGTGTGTGTGTGTGTGTGTGTGCGTGTCTGTGTGTGCAATGTGGCCCATCGCCGTAACAGCAACAGCTCAATTATGTGTAGTTGTCGAGCACGGGGCGTATGATTAATGTAGTATATATTCAAATGGCAGCCGAAAAGTATGCAACACTAATAGATGGCAACAATCTGACACTTGTGGCACATATATGCGGCAAATGCGAAAATTGCTGCAGCCACACAATTGAAATTGCATAGCTAATGCAATAGCTTGGGTATGGGGCCAGACACAAATTGCTATGGCGAACTTAGACCCCAAACGTAATTCCACACATGCAGCAACTGTGTTAACTCAAAGATTTCCGAGTCGTAACTAATTTGTTAGCAGTCAACGAAAACTTTTACAATCAACTTTGCAAGAAGTTTCGCAAGATTTGTTTTAAATAAGATAAGAGATGTACAAGCTCCCAGCCTTCCAATTCAATTAGGTTAATAAAAGCCTTAAGAACAGGCCTGATAAGAAAAGCAAACAAAGATCTGAGGCAGCTGTTGGAAATCGAATTGAGCCTGTTTTATAAGGTGTCACAAAGATAGTTAGTCTAATTTTAATAAAATCTGAATACTTTTTCACACATAAATAACAAAGCTTAAAGAAATCAAAAAATACTACTAAAGAAAAAAATTATATTGTCTATTTGAATTATATTAAACAAAATAAAGGAGTTTAAATTTCAGCCATGAAATGCAAAACAGTTGTTTATTCTAGCACGCTTCCCTAAAATAGCACCCGAAGGAGGCATTTATTATGTCAAGTGCCATAAAGAAAACTAAGCAAATTCAGCGTAGCACTGAATTAAAAACATCAATTCTTAATGTTCCTCAAGTGCATAAATCAAGAATGACAACAAGCTGCCTGCCAAACGCCACCTGCCTACTGCTAACTGGCAATGCGGCGTATGCGCAACGTGGCTGCCTCTGACCGGAAAACCTTTGGCCATCTGTTTTGGCTGTTTCTCTGTGACATTTGTGTCTTTTGTTTCTAATGTCCAGCCAATGCCAAATGCTATAAAATTTAATGTACTGCCAAAATAAACAAAACGAATGAAAACAAAAACAATTGCGTGACGAAGGACAACTGAATTGTGGCGGCAGGCTGTGACTTTACCTTTTGGATTTTCGTTTGGCAAACATTCAGCATTCAGTGGCAGTTAAGTAGTTGTCATTGCGATTTGCTTAGCCAAGATTTATGCCCGAGTGGCGCTTGATAAATGACCGAACGAATTACAAAGTGGCTTTTACTTGCAGTCAAGTAGCGCTCTCTGCGTTTTCTTGGCCATAAATTCACAGTTGGCTGAATGTCTAAATTAGCATTGAGGTAATTGTTGATATTTAGAGTTTAGTTTTGGCTTAAATATGCAATTGCAAATTACGGCTTTTGCGGCAATAAAGCAGCTAACTCAATTAGTTGGATGTGCAGTCAAAACAAATAACCCTTAGCAATAAGTGTAAATAATTGGACTTTAGATATCTGTTTGCTTGAAGACAGGTAGCATAATTGTATATAAATAATTAAATATTTGTCATTCAATTTAAATTTAGAATTCAACTCTGGAGTTATTTTAGGCTGCACTTTACTTATGCTTCTGCCTGTATTAGACATATGTAACTAAATTCTATTAATAATATTTTTTAGTTTGTATTTTAAGTATACCAATGCGAGCATACAATTTAATTTTGTCAATATTGAATTAAGTTTTAACTTATTTTTTTATTTTTTGCGCACCTATAATATTTGAGGAAACAAATTCCTTACAAGCATTTTATTTAGCTCATTATATTGTATTTTCTTTTCTTTTTCACACAGGCACAGACAAACTCGACCGAGCGATAAGATTTCCCCAAAGTTCATATTCGTGTACAGGTGTGCACGACAATGAGTTCTCTGATATGACCGACTAGATCATACCCTAAGCTCAGACCAGAGCTGCTGTTGCACGCATGCTAGTTTGCATATAGGATAGAAATTGAGTATGGCTTATTAAATTTGTATTCTTGTCCCTACCAGCCTAGATCTATTCTATAATAAGAATTTATATAACCTTTTGAGTCGAAGATACTTTCCTGGTGCCTCTAGCATACATGTCCACAAAACCATTATACCCAATTTACCCATTGTTAATTGGCATAAGAACAACATACATCCAGCATAAAAGCTGCAAATGCGTAAATGTAATTTGGGTGCAAAATGTGGCTGAACTCAACAATGCACAAAAAGTAAGAGTATGTATGTGAGTGTGTGTCAGTGTGCGAAAGGACTGAAATTTTAATTGGATGCAAATTGGCAACACCTACTAACACTCATTTATGGCTGCGGTTCGGCTACTCTGAACTGAAAACTCTTTTGTTTTTAACACAATTTACAATTTTGGGGCCATTAACACGAAATTGACCGCAACAGAAATTATTTCGTAAGAGCAACGTTGCGTTATGCATTGATTACACGTGAAACAATTCAATTAAAAAGTACATTTATATATGTAACATAAATAAATAAATAATTCAATGATTGAGGAGCGCACTAAATTGCATTTATCGCGCCCGCATTAATAAATTATTGCATTGGCAAAAACATTTAAATTGCATTCAATTTTTCTCTACCTCACTTTTAATTGAATGCTGTAATAGTACAAAAACTTTTGTTACAATTATTATATTTTTCCTCATCATCATGAATGTTTGTAGCCCGATCAATGTGTAATTAATTTTTAAATATTATTGAAGGGTTAATCTGCGCGTTTTGTTTGCCTTTTTTATCGCATGTTTTTATTCGACTTATTTGTGAAAAAGTGTTGCACATAAATAACAAGGGCGCAGTTAATGCCCAAAGGCTTAGCAATCAAATGGGACAATTTACATATGTAGTTGAGTTAATTGATAAGTTAATTAGCCATGGCTAACGGGCAACAAAAAATTAATTCTTTTGTCCTTTTGTGACTTTAATTGTGCAATTCATTATTTAATTGAATTTTGATTTTCTATGTATTTATATAGAAGCTTTTTGTGGCATTTTTATTCGCAAATAGTCCAATCTAATGTCTAGACAGAAATCGAAATCATTAAACGATAATAAGTATAATCTTTTTCTTTGTAAAAACTTTCAAGATAATTTAATTTCAACATCTCGACAAATATTATTGTTGACATTGGTAATCAAGCGGGGGTTGCTTTAGAGAGCATTGTTTAATAAGGCTGATCGAAATGTTAATACCCTTTGGGGCATGACTTAAAATGTTTTCTTATCCTTGTAGAGGGTATTATAATTTTCTCTTGAAATGGGAGCCATCTCCGATCCCGTTAAGGATATATATTCTATATCAGCATCAAAAGCCGAGTCGAAACCTGTCATAGAAACGATCTGTCCAAAAGCTGGTTCTTATATAAACAAATTGTTGTGTTTATCAAGATATTAAGGGTTTCACTATGTTCTCTATGTTCTATGTTCTCAGACTATATAATATAGCTGCTATAGGTCGAAGGAATAATCTTAATTTCTTAAGCAAGAAAAAAGCTGAGATTTAAGCTATTATAAGCTATTTCCATTTCCATTTACATTGTTGGTTTTTTTTTTTGTATTTTGGCCCATTATAATTTATGTAAAACAATAAACATTGTGATCCCAATAGACTTGCTAGGCGTCTTCTAAAGACGCCCAGAATTGAAGGAGTCTGAATTCGGAGGATATTGCGGAGGTATGTTTCTATCGATCTCTCAGACAGGGTTATATGTATCAATCTTTTATTATTTATGTTATTATGTTATGCATAAGTATTTATTCACATAATTTTAATAAAACTTGTTTTCTTAATTAACGTAAAGTTAATTAAGAAACCAACAAATTTAAATAAAAGAGGATATATGTTATACTTATTCTTTCATAAGAGAAATATTAAAAGATAAATTAATGTGAAAACAAGATTATGTTCTCAATAAAAAAACGTGTAAATAAATACAAGCCCAAATAAATAGTTGTACTTAATTATTCAAAATAATTTATTTTATATCATTTAATAAAAAATCAATAAAAATTACCTAAAGATTGACTTATACCAACTATTATTAATTACTTTGGCATGCGACCCGAGCACAGCTTCGGCATTACTCAATAGCAAAAAACAATGAGATGGAATTTTTTTTTTACACATTTGTGTTTTCAATACAGGTATTTTTCGCCTTACTTACCTTAGGTCAAGTTGTGAGCAATTTTTACCGTTAAGCGTTGCTGTTGTCGCTGCCAGCGTCGCCGTCGGCGCCGTCTGCTGCTGTAGACGCTGTGGCTGACGAGTCACAAGGCCGAACACTCCGCTCAGTGATCGCTTGGCGTTTGTTGTGTTCAGTTCGTTTGTAAATCCACTAAAAAGAGTAATCAAGTATTTTTGAAAGCTGCAAAGAAATTCAAAAAAAAAATACAAAAAAAAATATAAATCAAATTCGTGTACTTAATTATAATAAATTATGCATACGGGCGCATATAATTTAAATAATTGAGCAGCTGGAAATGTTTGAGGGACAGACCCGAGCAAAAAACATGATAAATTGCTTGGCATATGATTAAGGCCAGTTATAGAGCTGCGGCTTAAGCCCAAATTGGCAACGAGCAAGTGACGTGTTTAACGTGACGCTAACTGACAGCCAAATCAGGCTCATTAAAAACAAAGTAAATACATACAAATTTTTACACAATGTTTAATAAATATTTGCAGAGTGATCTGGCGAAATTGGGCGCCACTAAAGACAGTTGGTTTTGCGAATAGTTGCTTGGGGTCTAATCAAAAAGCAAACAAATATAGGAAACAAAATGGCAAGTCGCGTGCAAAGCAAAACAAATAAAATGCAAAAAAAAAAATAAAACAAAAACAAAAACAAAAACTGATAAACAAAACACAAAACAGTTAACTGTGTTCAAAGCGTTGCCAACTGTTAAAACATTTAAGAACAACACTTGTTGTAAAACAGGCCAAAATAAACATATGTATTTTTTATGGGTCAAGGTTCGAGAATGCCGCCTGTCTGGCTTTTATGAAACCCCAAATTATTTGCAGAACAATGTTTATTAAATTCTTCTTTTTTTTATATATATGAGCCACGCCGCTGAGCGATAATTAACGTTGTCTCGCATTGTCTGGGTTAACTAAAGCTTTATTGTGCTGTTTACTTTTATTTCCCTATACTCATATACACATCTAGCCTTATCTTTTTCGGTCTTTATCTGCTGCCAAATATGGTTAGCCTAACCCACGACAATATCAAATTTATTGCTAGTCAAACGTGTATAAAGCTTTATCTACAGGCATAACAATTATACATTTCTGATGGCAGTAATAACAAATAATTGATCAAATTTATAACAAACTTTTAAAAATTCATTTGAATACGCATCACATTTAAGACAATAAGAGCTTGAAAAAAGAAAAACAAACGTGCTTCAGGTTTGTCAATTCTTCTGACACACTTAAAGGTAGATTCCGACCTGTAATTACATGTTTTACGTACCGCGTAACGCTGACATTTTGCAGCGAGGGCAACGGCTTTGTGCACCTTCACTTTCCATTAACTGCGAGAACAACAATGGAGCAACTGCAACTGCAAATGCAACAATAATAATAACAACAACAACAACAGCCAAAAGCAACTTTGACGTCGACGCAGCTGCAACGCGTCGCGCCTTGCGCATGCGCAAATGCAGTGCTGAGGCAATAACAAAAACAACAATAACAATGACACAAAGGCAAATGAAAAAATCAAAAATAAACAAACAAAAAAGTTTTTGGATTAAACGAAGCGCTAATACACTTACCTTCAATTTCATATACAATTTATTATATATTTATATAGCGACATATAAAACGATTTGTCATGCCTGACTGACTGACTGACTGATTGACAGACTTACAGTCTGACAGACTGACAGAATGACTGACTGACGGACTGATTAGTGCACAATGCACAGCCCAAGAGCTAGGAACTTGAAATTTTCACTGTAGTTTCCTCATATGTTGGAGGAAAATGCGAAAAACGTTTGTACGAAACTCTTTTTTTACCATTTTATCTGCTTCAGCTCAATTTCAATGATCCTTGTTCAAATTTATTTGAGGAGTGCTTCACGCTTTTCAATAAAGGTATTCCTTGAAATCTTGAAAATTTATATATAAAATACTATTGAAGAAAGTACGCGGAACTTTTTTCCTCGGTGAAAAACTGTGTGAAAAAGTATGATCTAAAATTGTAGGCAAAAAAGCTGTCATGGGCAAGGTCGAGAAATATCCGCTAGTATATTTATATATTTCAGCACTTTTTTATGAAAATTATCTTTTTGTGTCTAACCGGTTTTGTGCCGAGTCGGCTTTAGGCATGAATTCCATTTTTTGATTTCCCATAAGCCAAGCCATAGACAGGAAGGCTTTGGTTCGCGCATTAAGAAGACAATGTTTTTGGGAATCGTAGCCAAAGAAATTAAAAGCGGTAACAGATGCAAGTTAACGATTCTTAATTAGACCTCATTTGTTATAACAATAAACGAGCGTTGTGTCTTAAAAGAAATTCCGCGAAACTGGGAAAGGCACAAATACAATACGTATTTCTTCATGTTTAATTGAGCTATATTTAGAAACGACAAAAATACCTTGTTTTGCGAGCAAATAATCATGTAACGACTATTGATACACTTCTGAGAATTTGTAGTATTTAACTATGATAAAGTGGAAGCCGAAATTGGTTTTATCAACAGATAAGATACGAGTTAATTGACTTGGCGTGCGGTTTTGATTAAAAAATGATTAAAAATATAAATATATACTTTAAGGCTTTGCAGAGTTGGTCATGAAAACCCGACGACTGCAAAGATTAAAAGAATATTGACAAAAGTTAAACTCATTTATTATTTCATTACGTATATTACGATGTGACACAAAAAGGCCCAACAGTTTTGGCTTAACATTTGCTGTCAGCCTTATTTGTAAATATAAATATAACAAATATATTAACATAATTAGTTAGATTAAAAAGCATGACAACTGATATAAGTGCACATTGTAAGGCGTAAAAGAAAACATGAAAGTTGCGGCTGTTTTACGCTAAGAAAACAATGCTAAATATGGTGCAAATAAAAACTTGACATATTATATTTAAACGTATCTGAAATATGATATTCCACAGCTTGCAAAACTGTGTCTAATCGTAGCCGCATTGAAATTGTATCCCAACTTCAGCATTACCAACTGAATGACATTCATAAGGTACTCGTGGATATCACTTTGAAAATAAAGTGAAATGTAAACAAAGAGCAAATCGAAGCTAGCTGAAACAGAAAAATGCAAATGCTAGACGAGTCGAGACATTGTCGAGAAACTTGTTTGAGCCCTAAAAACTGGTAACTGGCAACAAAGTGGTCAGAACTGCAATTGTATGGGTGAGCAGTAGTTTTTTTTTTCTTTGTTTTTTTTTCTTTTTGTGAATGAATGAATGCCACAAATAGTTATATAATCGAAGCTTCAGTCAGTGGGTCACTGACTTTGGTGGATTTGTAACCTGTTTCTCCGACCGACCCACCACGCCCGCTGTTGGCAGCGGTTTTTAATTAGTATTCAACCACAAAACTTGACCATAAGAGTTAACCTTCAGTTGCGGCGTTTTTTTGATTGACTTTGCAGCTGCAACACAGCAACAACAACAACAACAACAAGCAGAATGGAGCAGAGCAGCAACAACAATGGCTACCTCAATCCCGCCTTTGTGGGCTCACCGAATGCCTCCACCATATCCATTCCGGGCGCCTATAAAACCCAAACCGAGGGTGGCGCCACGCCCACGCCCATAGAAATTTCGACTGAGCGCAAAGCGAGTGAAGCGCAGGAGCCAAACGCTAGCCCGGATGTGGAGCAGGGCAAACAACGGGATGGCTGGAATAATGATATTGAGTTTCTTATGTCCTGCATTGCGCTGAGCGTGGGCCTGGGCAATGTTTGGCGTTTTCCCTTCATCGCACTGGAAAATGGCGGCGGTGCATTCCTGATTCCCTACCTTATTGTGCTCTTATTGGTGGGCAAGCCGGTTTACTATTTGGAAATGTTGATGGGACAGTTTTCAAGTCGCGGCAGCGTCAAGGTCTACGACTTTGTGCCCATTATGCGAGGTGAGTGTGCGAGTGTGCGTCAAATGTGTATGCGTGTGTTTAATAATATCTTCCATTTGCAATACAGGCATCGGCTATGGTCAGGTGCTGGCCACGGGCATTGTGACCACCTACTATGCCACCTTAATGGCGCTCACGCTGCGCTATTTTGTGGAATCATTTTATCCCACTCTACCCTGGAGCTACTGCCGCGAGGAATGGGGCTCTAGCTGTTTGGATTCGGCACCGCATCAGGAGAGCGCTGTGAACGGTAATCAGTCAACGGTGCGCACCACCTCGGCTGAGTTTTATTTTACGTAAGTAAATCGCATTTTACGTTTACAATCAAATCCATCATCTTCGGCAACTCCATCAGAAACATTATTCTGCGCGAGAAGGCGAGCATCGATGATGGCATTGGCTATCCCAGCTGGAGTCTGTCCTTGACTTTGGCCATTGCTTGGCTCATTATCGCGAGCATTATGTTCCGTGGCGTTAAGAGCTCTGGCAAAGCTTCATATTTCCTCGCTCTGTTCCCCTACCTGGTCATGCTGATATTGCTGGTGCGCGCCCTGACCCTGCCGGGTGCTTCGGATGGTGTCCTTTACTTTCTGAAACCACAATGGCACAAGCTGCTGGAGCCGCAGGTGTGGTATGCAGCTGTTACCCAGGTCTTCTTCTCGCTGGCCATATGCTTTGGCAATATTATCATGTACGCCTCCTACAATCGTTTTGGCCAGAATATATACAGGTAAGTGAGATATGCGACCATTTTTTTTTTAATTTAACTAACATTCCATGTACCTTTTAATTTTAAACTGGCTTGAATAAAAATAATTAAAAAGTATGACCTAAAATTGCTCTTATCTAAATTTGATTATATATTATCTTCAGTTATGACGGATTATAATCTTTCTTTACTTTGCTTAATCTCATAAAAATCTCTACATTTTCTCTCTCTCTTTCTCTTGTCTCTCTCTCTCTCTCTCACTCTCTGTTTATTTTCTCTCTCTACCTCTACCTCTATATCTTTCTCTCACTCACAATCTCTCTCTTACTCACTCTCACTTTCGACTTTCTCTGTCCCTGTTTAAAGTCCAAAATGGTCTACCTAGAAAAATAATATTTTAACCCAATTATGTATTTTGTGTACTTTGCAGAGATGCCAACATTGTAACCACATTGGACACATTCACCTCGCTGCTCTCTGGCATCATAATCTTCGGCATACTAGGCAATCTGGCATATGAGAATAACACAACGGACATATCAAGTGTGGTCAATGGCGGACCGGGGTTGGCTTTTATATCGTATCCGGATGCAATTGCCAAGTTTAAGGTGCTGCCGCAGGTCTTCTCGGTGCTGTTCTTTCTCATGCTCTTTGTGCTTGGGATTGGCAGCAATGTGGGCATGGTCTCGTGCCTGACCACCGTGTTGAAAGATCAGTTTACACAGATAAAACAGTGGCATATCGTCGTGTTTATATCGATTGTTGGCTATCTGCTGGGTCTGTTGTATATAACACCCGGCGGCCAGTTTGTGCTGAACCTGTTGGACTTCTTTGGCGCCACATTTGTGGCCTTAGTCTTGGCCATCTTTGAACTGGTGGCCATTGGCTGGGTCTATGGCGTGAAGCGTGTTTGTCGCGATGCGGAATTTATGCTGGGCATAAAGACATCCATCTACTATCGCATCTGTTGGGCTGTGATAACGCCGCTGCTGATGTTCGCCATACTGGTCTACATGCTGGCACTGTACGAGCCGCTTAAGTACAAGGACTACACCTATCAGTCTGGCGTTTATGGTAAGCTGCAGCCTAATTCCAATTGTGGACTGAACTAATTTAATTTTCCAACGCAGTCTTTGGCTGGTGCCTGAGCGCCTTTGGCGTGGGCCAGCTGCTCATTTGGGCGGTGCCTGCTGTGAGACGTCAGCCCGCCGAGCTAAGCCTTTGGCAGCGCATACGCAAAGCTTTTGAGCCACTGCCCAACTGGGGACCCGCCGACCCCAACACGCTTAAGCGCTATCAGCTCTATGTGGAGCAGGCGAATGTAAGCGCCCTGTTCCAGCGCAGCGGTATCTGGCACAAAATCTATGACAATATCTTTGGCTAGCAATAAAAATCTGTAGCCTGTAATGCTGGGGGAGTTACTCGTTTTATGTGTGGCAACCCTAACTACTATACGTTATGCTATGTACAGCACAACCCTTTTATAATAAAAATCCTGGCTTAAGTGCCAAATATAGTCGCTGCGCCAGTTGGCCTCAAGCGAACCCGTTAAAACAGTGCAATCAGACAGAGATGGGCGCGTGAGAAATGGAGAAATGGACAACGCTACAGTAAACCCATAAAATGTAACGAATTTATTGTAAAACTCTAGCTAAATAAATAATAAGTTTACTTTATGTTAAATTAAAAAGCTCTTCTATTTGGGGAATGCCAAATTGGATCAATAGAACAAAAAGCGACTCACTGTATTTAAGGTAGACAAGACCGCGCTCTTATTTAAATTTACTTTATTTTATGCTTCAGATTCCCAACTAATTCTTGATTTCTGAGCTATTTATATAGGACTTCAATTGAGAACGCTTTTTGCTACACGAACTGCCTGCTCATGCAGCCCTTAACAAAAAGTTTTTTCTCACCTTCAAATCTTTTCAACTCTCGTGACTTTCGTGTTTGCTCACGCGCACAACTTCAAAGCCGCACCGAACAGGCACAACTATAAAAGACAAGACAATTGCAGCCAGCGGCGCTTAACGCACGCATACCCCCACACACACACACACACACACACACACACGAAAACACACATGCACTGATTATGCCGTAAAGGGTAAAAAGTTCTGATTTTATGATTGAGGCAAAAAGTTGCAAGTACAAAAGTGTCGTGCGCACACACGCATGTGTGTGTGTGTGTAAGTGCGCGCGTGTGTGTGCTGTAAAACACTTCCACTTCCGTTTCCGTGTAACAGCAGGCGCAAAGTATTCAAGTAATTTGTAAGTTAAGAGACAGCACCTACCCCTCCCTTCCTCCTCTCGCCAACAGTCGACCGCCTGCTGGCAGATAAGCATAAATGGCGCTTTGTTGTTCTGTTTGTTGTTATTGTTGTTCTTGCTGGCAGCGAAATGACAAACGAGGCGCCTATAAGCATGCAATATAAAAGTCCGACACTCCCAAAAAAACCTCAAAAATATATAAAAAACATTTATAAATAACAAATAGAGTAATAAATCACGCGGCTTGCAAGTTAAAAACACACGCATCTGAGAATCTGCTTTCATTAGCCCAACATATTGGCAGCTTGACAGGCACAAAGACAAACAGTGCGAATAAAGGTGAATCTGGAGCAGAAGGACAAGTGTTTTTTGTTGGTATACCCTGTAGTCATTAGTGGAAGAAGTGTGTTATGAGCTAGCTAACATTCTCAAGCAACACAAGAGTTGAGTTGAACTTGCCCTTTCGGGAAGCTTAAACATAGAAATATTGCATTGCAGAAAATATAAATACACATTCAGGATTCCAACATTTAACTACAGGGTATCTCCACGTACGTCCCTTTAAGCTTAGACCATTCCAACATTTTTAAAATTACTTTTTTCTTCGTTTGCCTTGCATACGTTGGCTTCCCTTGGCTTCCAACTTTTTAGCTGTCAAATTAATGTGGCTGTCAACCGTTGACGGCCAAGTTGAGTGTATTTGTCAGCAGCTTGTATGTTCGTCCGTTTACGTAATTGCACTGATAAAATGCGTTTAAAAGTGCATAAAACGGTGCTCACATACGCTGACATGATCACACGGCGTATGCGCCATATGCGAATTTAACAGTAAATATACCACACACTATAATCACTATGCATGTGTGTGTGTGTGTGTGTGTTTATTGCTGGCAAAGCTGAAGTGAATGCATTTCGAGTTATTTGTCAAGCCATTGTGTCTTGTTAATGAGTTTTTAATGGGCAAATGTTGAAAACACAACTCTTTGTGCATTTTATTCAAGTGGACGCTTGAGAATGCCAACCCAACCCACGCCCCGCCCTTGCTCTCTCTTGCCAGTGTGCGCTTAATTTCATTGTTATTCAGTATAAATCAAACATAATGCGATATTATGACCGCGTCCACGCTGCGTATACTTAATTAAAATATATATTAAATACCCAATCACGGAAACACACGCAACCATTATCGAATCAAAGCGAATGCAATTTGCACTCATATGAATGTTTTAATTCGTATATATTCATTGGCGATTTGGCTGCAGCCACAGAAGGTATTACCTTTAAATCAGACGGTAATCATGAATTTACGATATGTTCGTCTCATTTAAATTACCCATAAGCAATTTGGAAATTTATGCTTTTGATAATTATTTGCTGCTGCTCTGGAAAAATAATTTATTAAAAATAACATTTTTGGTCGACTTAAATGATGAAAATTAATATGACATTGAAATTTCAACATTCATTTATTTGCTATTTCTTTTTGATTTAACATAGAAATTCAAACCATTTTGGATAAAATAAAATGGTAGTTTTTTTTTATTGCATAAAATTTGGTGTCTTCATTTTGAATGTCACAAAAGTTTCCATTGAGAAGGGATTGTGTTTTCTTTCTTAACTTACTCTAGATATTAAATATTGTAAAGGGTTTTAAACTTTTCAAACAGGCTGCCAAGTGGCCGTGACAAAATTTTGTTGTATCAATATTCAAGGGGGTTCATTAGAAATCCAAGCTCCTTGGTTAATCACTTATCCTCAACTGATATGTTAATTATGCAATTCTCTCCAGAAATTACTGGAATTCTGGATTTCTATATTTTCACCGGCATTAAACAATCTCCATATATATTGTTTGCTATTTTTCTTTGCTAACTTCTCTTTATAGTTTCTCTTCACCTAAAAGTTACTAACCAATTGGCAGCCGTGCAGCTGCATTCTAACAATTTCTTTCGTAACTCATCGAGTTGGGAAAAGAAAGAAAAAACACACAAAAGATTCCTTTAAAGGGCAGTTCTCTATCACAACCGCTTCTAACTTAATAACTTATCGGATCTAATATTATACGGTTCGTTTAAGCCTGCTGTCGAATTCCGCTTAAGACAAATAAAGGCAAGATTATGATTTACGTGATGTCTGAGCATTATTGAATACCAGATTTATGGCCATGAAATAATAGCTTAAAATCATAGCGAACTGTTTATGGCCTAGAAACCCAGTGTATTGCAAGAGAGTCGGCCACAAAAACACAAAAGAACAACAGCCACATCCTGTGGCAAGGCAAATAAATCAGTCGCCAGGCATTGGCAACGGCAAGCGGTGCGTTGGCAAACAGCAAAACGGTAAATGACAGGACAGGTACGCACCGTTACCTTTCACGCACATTTCCCCAAAGTAATCAACACAGTCGCGGCAACCAAAAGGCAAGCAACACGGCCAAAACGCAGTCGTCGGATGTGCGCCATTTGGTCATGTGGTGGCTGCCAGCGGAAGGTAGCCAAAATTCAGTTGGCCAACAAAATGGGCCAACTTTAATGGGCGACCGTCGAGTGTTTGGGTGTGTGTGTGTGTGTGTGTGGGGTCGCCAAGCCTGCTACTTAGGCACACATTAACTTTTGGCCTTTTGTAGAGTGAAACGCTTTGTCCGCCCTGGGGCCTGCGCCTGCTGCTCAATTGTTATCTTAAGACTAGACGCAGCTGCCATTACTTCACATTGTTTGTCTTCTTTTGAAGGGAAGTTTTTAAATTATTTAAATAAATTAGCGCACATTTTTTTTGTGCTCTCCGAACAGATTGCAGGTGATTTAATTTGAATAGCATTTAGCTGTATTTCTTTTTTCTCGCTGCCAAAATGACAGGTGTGGCATGCATTCCAGAAGGCTAACCGAAAACACACCCAAGAAAAAACGCATTGTTGTAAAAATTTAACGGCCAAGTTTATAGGCCACAACTGTGTACCCAGCCAGGCTGGCAATAGACGATTTAAAGCAGCCAGCCTGCTTTTAGATTACTGCAAACAATTCCCGCAAAAGTACCATAAACGTGTTCATAAAACATTTTACAATTTAATGCTAATAGCAATTGTTGAAATTTGCATTTCATTAACGCCTAGACAATTGTTTAGAAATTGTTGAAAATGGGAGAGCAAAAAAAAGAAATTAATTATTAAATAATTTGTCTGAATTTCTATGTTGTTGAAGGGAATTTAGAAATATTAAAACTGCATAAAACAACTTTTACTTTTTTTTTTAGCGAATTAGAATCTATCTAAATAAATTTATATAAATTTATATACTTTTATATTAAAATATTTATATATTCATATACTTTTATATCCCATATATTTCTTCAAGGAAATTGCTTAACAAATTTAGCAATAAATAAAATAAAATAGAATTTCAACCAAAAATATTGTAAGCATTCGAAGTTCATGCCGCTTTTAATTCCGAATGTGTAAAGTAAGCTGTAAATTAATGTTTTATTTGAAAGCTCAACAATTTAATTTATTCGGAAACGTTTTAAGTTTTCATGCAAATGAGCAATGAAATTAAATTTATTAAATGAGAGACAAGGGTTGGGCAGCGCACATTTAACACGCTTGAATGAAGTGGCCAAGTTAAGACGGGCAACAAGACTAAAATGCCAGACATAACAGACATTGCAGACATTCGGAAGACATTTCATCAAACGTTGCCTGGGAAAACCAAAAAAATAAAAATAAAAATGAAAAAAGAAAAAGGGCAGCCACAAAAACAGATCCTGACGATTGTTATGTCGATGGGCGGATGGTCTGAGTTGTTGTCCTGGCATATGTACTACACATAGTTTTCGGGCTGGCTTGGCTGTTATTTTTTTTATGGGTTTCCATATTTATGACTGTCTGTCTGTCAATGACAGAAACGGACACACAGCCAGACACAGACAGACAAAGCACACTAGCGAAACCCAAGTAAACTCTGTCGATTGCCTCACTCGAGCGGGGCGTTTATTATTGTTGCACTCAAGTGGGCCACGTCGCACTTCAGCCATTGATTTGCCGTGTTTTATCCATATATATATATATGACAAACTGTACTATAATATTTTTATGATCTACTCACAGTGCCAATTAAAGCATAAAAATTTAATATAAATATGCA